AGACTGAGTGTGTTCGGTCGGTGTTTATATAGCCGCTGTGGGTTATATCATGATCATGACACATCATCACGAAGTGTTGCCCTTCGTCCCTGGTTTTGTGAGCGGTTGGTCCGGACGGACAGAACGACACACACACACACACCGACAAACCGACACACCAAAGTTCTGGTTTATATAATGAAGTGATAAAGATGTGCCTAGTAAAGGCCAAAAAGTGCCTTTCCCAAGGCATTCTCAGCTGCGCCAGCCCCACATGTCACTTTTGAATCCCAGAACACGCCTCTTTCGAAATCTCATCTACACATTAGTAGTCAGCTGATAACGCAGCCTTCAGATAATTTTACGATTTCCAGAGATGAGATGCGAATGCTCGGCGCGAATCGAGCTTACAGATCAGCGTCGACTAGAGCGCATTTTTTCATACTTGACGACCAGTTATAGGAACCGAGAGCTTTACAGTGCGGTTCCACTGTTCTTTGTTTTCTTGTTTTCTTACAGCGCTGATCGAGATCACCGTCATGATCATCTAGAAGAAAAAAGCGAACAACGAGATAAAGAAAAAGAGAGGAATGTAAAGGAAACTTGCCATTCCTCCATGAAAGGCACTTTTTGCTCAAGTGTCAGTTTCGGATCGAATTCGACAGGGAAAAACTTCTCCTTCAGAAGTTGCAGCTAAAATCGAACATCTTTTAAATCAGATAGAACGGAACTACCTTCATTTAAACCCATGATCAGATACCTTCAAAGACAATTCAGGGTCAACCTGCTTGGAACAGTTGTCGAACACGCCATGGGTGGTCCAACATCGTCTTCCAGGCTGTCTTCAAATCTTGATAAAGTATAGTCAAAATCAGAGATAGTATGGTTGAGTGTGAGCGAATTGTGGGTCAAGAGAGATGAAGAAATAGTGTGGCTTCCGCTGGAAAGATAGTATAGTTCAAGGAATCAGGAGATTCCGGTTCCTGCAAGAATTCTACCAACTCAATGCTGCGCAAAACAGTTGATAATAGCTTATAGGTTGGGGATAGAAACATATAAATCCAATCCAGTTTGGGCTGGAACAAGAAGAAAATTCATCATTCATAATTCGTTCTCAGAATGCGCCCTACACCTGCTTCCATTCAAAATTGCGATAAGACTTGAAGGCAATTTTTGTCCGCGCATTGACGTTTGGTGCCCAACCAATGCACAAGATTGTTATCGTTATCCCAAACGGATCGGTACCAATAAACGAGGGCGAATGAATGTTGGGTATGATTGACCCAGAGGAGAAATGACTGGAAATCAATTTTTCAATAAATTTCGCCCATTTTGAGGGCTGAGCGCATCTGAGAAAAAATAGCGCAAAGCGAACGGACATTTAGTTTCACATGGTTCACTGGTTGCATCGTTTGAAGCGCAGGAACACCGAGTGTAATGCAAGCTGATGGCGATAGAGTATTGAGGGCACCGCACGCATTGGGAGTTCGTTGAGCAATGTCTTCTCCCTGCCCAAGCCCCGAGGAGCGTTCTGTCTCCTGCAGCGAATGGCTAGAGGCACAATTAGCAATTGACGTCTGGCTAGGAGCCAAGTCCCAAAGAGGAAGGTGAGAACCCTAAGGCTAAGCCTCGGAGAGAGGAGGGACTCTAATGTGGGTGAGCCAATTACAGTGTGACAAAGTCTGAGTGTATCAGCATCACAGTTGCCATGAGCCGCTGTTTAGGCGAGAGAAGGCAGGCGAGAGCATCAAAGTAAGGCGGTTCAAAGGACAGAGCTCAAGTAGTCTGTCGCCGACAATTTTGTATGCAAGGGCAGAATTTACTAGCAGTTGGCCGGGATATCGGTAAGTTATTGTACTTCAGGATTCATTTGTCTTTGTTACTATCAACAGCTTTGCCAAACTTCCTTACGATGAAGCTTTTATTTCCCTCACCTTCAACCCATGATTCGTAGTTTTCTTCTTCAAGCTGCCTTCTCGGTCACGCATGCATCACTTGCGCTGATGATTTGAATATCGAGTCAAAAGCAATACTCCAGCATTAGCCTTGGAAAAAAGCACAACATTATCATTTGGGCAGCTTTTTGCGGACAGGCGATTCAAATTTGGTTTCCATTTTTCTACTCACATCCTTCAAACACAGTGTCTAGCCGAAACAGGGGAGCATGGTCAACGAATGCGTGCCGGTTGTCGGCCGCTGCGTGCGGACGCAATTTTGGCTGCGGCGTCGAGAGGCGGCATTTTCGGCTCCCCCACTTTCTTCACGATTTGGGGCGCGGCCGCGGCGAGCGCGGACGAGTCGATAGTGCCCGCGAACTGTGGTGGTGATGCGTTTTCAAATTTACCCACACAGTTCGCGGGCACTATCGACTCGGCCGGGTTTGCCGCGGCCGCGCCCCAAATCGTGAAG